GGTAACCCGCAGCAGTTGGGCGTGTGAGTAAACACAGTCAGTCTGAGTAAGACTCGACCAAAGGTTCAAGGAACAGGTGGAGCTGTGTAAATCCTTGGTTAACATGCACACATGATAGATAGTCCTGACTTTCTATTCAGAGCTCACCAAAATTACCTTGCCACGAAGAAACTCTTGAATCCTGCCACCAAAGTTACCTGAGAGCACAGATCAGCATCTGCCTACACTTGACTCATCCCTCCACGTTTCTGGGCAATTATTCTGAGCCCTCTTTAGCCCTAGAGACCGTGGTTTTGTACTGCATGGGACCTCTCAAATGCCTTCTCTAGGTACCCACATCACTAGCTTGCTCTGCACTGCTGGGTCTTGGCTTCAATGTCACACTAGTAAATATGATTTATCCAACCTCTGTGTGTGTGTGTGTGTGTGTGTGTGTGTGTGTGTGTGTGTGTGTGAATGTATTTGCTGTTTGTCTCCCCTTGGCAGAAGAGGCCCTACCAGCACAGGATTTCCCTGTTTCTGATTCTCTTATACCCAGAGAATTTAGAATAGTGCCTGGCAGGACAGCGCAGTAAGGTAAAAGACTTATGCTAACAGACCTCTGAGGCACTGTGATATCAATCAGAGGGTAAGGCTTGCAGCAGGTGCAGAAGCTCCGGACATACAGCTGTGCTGTGGCGAAGCCCTGCACAGCTGTGGGAAGGCAACTGAATGGTGAAAGGGACAAAAATGACAGTTTGTCCGAGAAGGAAAACCATGAGCCTGGGTAAGGAGTCACCCAGAGGTTCAAGCTGGGAAACAGCATGGTCAGATCTACCTTTTCCAGAGCAGTAACAGGTGCAGTGTGTGTGTGTTCATGTATGTGAGTGTGCATGCACATGTATGTGTGTTTGTGTATGTGTGGGGAGGTACTGGGGTGTGTGTGCATGTGCATGTGTGTGTGTGTTTGTGTATGTACTATGTGTGTATTATGAGTGTGTGTGTGTGTGTGTGTGTGTGTATACAGAAGATTCTGTATCACAGAGAACATTTAAAAGATGACCTTATAAGTTCCCATAAGGGCCAACTAAGGCAGTAGGGTTGGATATGGAGGCAACCAGGTATTTTCACTGGAAACTGAGTCTCTTCCTAGAATCCTCTCTTTCAGTGTCATATCCCACAGAAGCATCTCATTTGCACAAGCACAAAAGCAAAGAGGAATATTCTATTACTCTCTCCTTTCTCCCTCTCATCCTCTCTCTCAGGGAAAAATGAAAGCAGAGCATGAGATTACAGGGGAAGTCACCCATCTGTCTGCTCACCTCTGAGTCAGTCATCATTTTGAAGTCAGATCTCTTGTCCCTGGCATCTCTCAGCAACTACAGATCTGACCCTAGAAAGGTGACAGGCTCAAGCAAGGCTCACTTCTGGGAGCTGCTGTGCTGCCCTCACACAGAGATGAGGGAAGGCTCAGCACTGCTACCAGAAATAGTTGGAAGCTCGGCCATCCACCATGGTCCCCTTTTCCCAGGCTCCTGCAGTCTTGCCCTAATTGGCAGTGGCCAGCTGGAGCGAGCCTGTCCAATGGCAATTCTCATGAACTTCTGCTTCCTACTCTGGCCAGTGAAGAAGTATCATACCGTGTCTGAAAGCAGGCCATCGATGGGTTCAGGTAGGCATAGCAACACTGGAACGCCATGTCCCACCTCACCACCCAGGCTCTAACCATATCTGGTAAGAACGTTCCAGGAGTACACCGGGTCCCTCAGGCCCCAGGGCTTTTTGCTGGTTTCCTCTGCCCTCCTCCCACCGTGAACACACTATGCTCGCTCCTGCCCTTCCCTTCCCTCAGCTCTGGGCCCAGAGCAGCTCGCTCTCTTTCTCTTGACTTTTCGTCAGTGCCTCCCTCACCCTCCCTTGTCTCATTTTCCTTTAAGTCACAGTTTATAAGGATTTAGATTCTGGAACTCAAACATATTTTTGGAGATTCTCTCTCTGTGTATGTTTCTCTTTGCTTGGACATTTGTTACTGTACAGGTCTTTTATGTATTCTGGGTTCTGGTTTTGTGTTTTCATAGGTTTTGAGTTGTGTGTGAATGTGTGTGTGTTTTCGTGCTTTTTCTTTGTTTTATTATTTATTCTTTTTTACTTGCCTGTTTTCTGAAGAGAGAGAAACAAGGCACGAAATTGGATGGGTGGGGAGGTAGGGCAGGGGATCTGGAGGAGATGAGAGAGGGGAAACCATGATTGGAATATATTGTATAAAATATTTTCCCTTTATTAAATATATTCTTTTCTCATATAATCAGAATAGTTTCCCCTCCCTCTACTCCTTCCGACTCCTCCTCACCCCTTCTCATCCAGATTTACTTCCTTTCTGTCTCATTACAAAACAACAGGCTTCTAAGAGGTAACAACAAGACATAACAAAATAAAATATAATAAGATAAAATAAAAATCATCATACTGATGTTATGGGTCAACTGGGTTGCTTGGGGATTTCCGTGGGACTCTTTCAGCCAACAGCTCAACTGGAGAAAACCCAGTCCCAGCACCAGAAGCTTGGTTTTGTGCCAGAGATGGCCAGTTGGGGTTCCATCTCTCTCATTACTTGGGAGACTTCACATATAATGGAAGTTTCACTGTACTGCCCCTCAGTTCTAGCTGTCCCTCCCCCATTCCCTCCCTCAAGCCCACGGCCCTCCCCCTTCCCACCTGATCCTCCTTGTGCTCACCCCTTCCTCTCCTCCCTGTTCCAGTCCACCCAGAAAATCTATTTTCTTTCCTTCTCCAGGGAGATCCTCATGTCCCCACTAGTGCTTTCCTCTATACCAAACAAAACACCGAAGTTCACTCTTCCCTTTTATGCATGGCCCCACAGAAGCACCGCCTCAACACATGGAGTAAGTGGATGCTGTCATCGAGTTCAAGAGCACACACTCAGCCAGTTCTCCCCAGCACACCTGTATGCCCCAATGCATGACAATCATTAACGTATAAGTGCTCTTGACTTTTTATTTCATACTAGCTATAACCTCATCTATCTATCTGTCTATCTATCTATCTATCTATCTATCCATCCATCCATCCATCCATCCAAGTTTGGTTTTCAAGACAGTCTTTTGGTTTTCTTTGTTTTATAGCCTTGTCTGTCCTTGAACCCACACAGATCTGCCTGCCTGCTGGGATTAAGGCATGTACTACTCCTCATGGCTGAGAGAGGATGTTCTTAACCATACAGGTGTGGAGAGAGAAATGATCCTGTGATGGCTGCAGCACCAAAGTAACGGAGCTCCTTTGAAGAAAACACACCTCACCAAATATATATAACCTCCTATCTTTTTATTCCAGTTAGATTCATAGTTTATAGTCAACACCATAAACACTATAGTTATCACTTGAGTGATAACATCCTATTGAGACCATAGCAGCAGTGAAGACCGTGAGCTGTTGGGTCACACAGCCAGCCAGACTCAAAATCCCTTTCCACTGAAACCTGGCTGGGAGCACAGGGACCATAGTTTCCCAGTGAGCACACCACACCCATGTCACCATATCTGTGAGATAGCCCTTCTAGAATATACAGTATGAGTGGGAGTTGACTTCTGGCCAAAGCAGCCATTTTTTACAAGTAAAAGCTTGCCATGAGGGACCCACCATTTCTCATCACTAGGCATAGAACTCTACTTGGGCCTGAGTCACTCTTGGCCTTTTTCTAACAGAAATAGGGAGGGAGGGACTTTTCCTGGGCACCCTCTAAGCTGTGAGGATTGAAGCTTGGTGTTAGCTGTAGCCTCAGTAGCTGTGGGCTTGAAAGGACAAAGTAAGCATGCAGAGGCCCAGAATCATTTTCGGTTCTGCTTGTGCCCTGCTCAGTGCAACGTTATTAAACACTCCCGGCAACTAACCACTGAGGAGGAAGAAAAACAACAGCAGCTGGGCTTCTGATGCTTCTGACGCTTTCTCTTAAAGGAGTCTCAGCTTTAACTCTGTAGCCTCATCTGCCAAACAGGGAAGCAAATCACGCCTTCCTCTGCAGCAGCTGAAGCAATCCTGCTTCACACGGCTTGGCATTAGCAGAGTCTGGAAGCTCAGAAGAGCCTCCGTGAGCCCTCCGCTCTCCACTCTTTCATTCCTAAAAGGACCGGTTCCATGCTGACAACACTGGAGATGTAGTGTGCACGCCTTGGTGTGTGCCTGGGCAGTTCTTTTCCAGCCAGGAACCCCTTCCTCCAGTTCTCAGCTCTGGTCCTCTACTCCAGTGATTTTCATTTTTACAAGCTGCAGCCAACAGTGGCAGAGCTGTGCCCTGGGGGTTCCTTTCCTATTGTCCCAGGTCTGTGCTCGTCTCTCAATTACAGATGCTTTGTCTAATGCTCTCCTTGTCTGCAACTTTAACCGTGTTCGCATGCCTCTCCTCACCAAGCTTCACTTGTTTCCTACCCTGTGGCTCTCTAACTGCAGATGTGAGTAAGCGCAGGGAGCAACGTCTGTACCACGCCCGCCCATTTCTCTCTCAAACAAATTAGCCCATTACTTTCGAGTTCATTTCACTAAGATCTATTTAAAATGGCACAGACTTACTGCTATCATACACACACACATGCACACATATATATAATCACAGAACACATACACAT